CAGCTCATCCATCAAAGGTCTCAGATATACGTCAATAAGTCTTCCGGGAGATCGGGGACCAGGAATCAATAGTGACATCATGAGATAAGGCTCTTTCATGCATTGCCAAGGTGGTAAGTTATATGCCATTAAGATCACGGGCCAAATACTATAAGAGTTGCTCATGTTACCAAAATTATTAAATCCATCAGTGGCTAGTCCGAGCCGTACATTTTGAGGATCTTGAGCAAACAAGGGGTACTGTTTATCAAGATACTTCCAAACTTCAGAATCTGCAGGATGAATCAACGTATCATCTTTCTCAATTTTACGGTCTTTATGCCATCTCATATCAGAGGATGTCTTCCTCGACAAATATAACCTCTGTAATCTTGGCTTAACAGGAAAATAACGCAAAATTTAGTGAGGAATTTTCTTTCCTTTACAATCATTTACTTTCCATCTAGACTCTTTGCAGATGGGACAATCATTTAAGCTTTTATATTCTTTCCAGAAGAGAACACAATCATTTTTACACGAATGAGTTAACTCATAGCCCAACCCAATGCGTTTTAACATCTTTCCCGCCTTGTAAAATGATGAAGGAATGATATCACCTTCTGGCAGATATTTTTTGAATAAATCAACAAGCATGTCATAGCATTTATTAGTCATTCGATTCAGGAGTTTGATGTGAAGAAATTTGACAAGGAAAGATAACAATGTTTTGGAGCAACCAGGATATAATTTGCGTTGTGCACAGCTCAATGATTTCTGAAAATTTTCCAATTCCTCATCGAAAATAATATTTGGTTGATCAAAATGGCAATCGTCTGAAGAATCAAACACATTTTCATTATAAACAAAATTGTGCATACCAAAATTCAAGTCCTCTAACATCTCTTCCACGATACGAACGATGCTAGGGTCTGGTTGAATTTTACCTACAAACGATTACTGAACTTCTGTTTCTTATGCGGCGTTCTTGGGAATGGAGAACAGAAGTGCCCGAGGAGATATGAGGATGAGTTTGAAGAACCTGGTGAGAACTTCCCGTATGGAACTTGTCTCCGAGCCAATCAGACCACGGCAAACCAAACCGTCAGATTACCTCTCCAACCGGTATTACCCGTGTCTGCTAACTTCCTGAACCATCAGCAGGGATCGACCTCACGAGGACGAGGCATTTTTGATTTTGATCAGACAACCCCTGGGACAGCAATCCAGCAGAGCTCGAATGGTGGAAAGGAGAACAATGAGCCTACGGGGCTGATGGAATGCAGCCTGATTAGTAATCCTATCCAAGTATCGCTCACAATTCCCATTGGACCATTTCCAATAAAGAAGATAGCGGTATCAAAGAAAAATAAGGCAAAAAGAGCAAATGGAGAAGCTACTATTGGAGACACGAGAGGTGGAAAAAGACAGCACACCCTTTGTTTACGCGACGAAGAAACAAGCCCAACGGCGGAGACTGCCTCGCAGTCCCGCCGATACCAATGAGTTGTCTATTTTGGAATTGTCAAGGGTTGGGGGTGCCCTTGACAATTCACTCATTCGGAGATATCCTCCGAATTCACCACCCCTCAGTGATGTTTATTTCGGAAACGAAAGCGACATCACACTTGGTAGAGAGACTAAAGAAGAAATGGAACCTATTTGGGGTATCGGTTGACAAAAACGGACGAGCGGGAGGGCTCGCACTTTTCTGGCAAAAGAACGTGCAAGTAGACCTTATCTCTCTCTCGAATCATCACATCGATGTGGAGATCACTTATTCGGACACATTAGAGAAATGGAGGATTACAGGTATTTATGGCTATCCGGAGCACGCTCGGCGACATTTAACATGGGACCTTCTCCGTTTGTTGTCGGGACAACGAAATCTTCCATAGATTGTGGGCGGGGACTTCAACGATACGCTCTCTACGTCTGAGAAGGACGGAGGAAACCCTAGACCACTCTCAATGATATTGAGTTTCCAAGAGGCTTTACAGGACTGCCAACTCACTGACTTGGGTTACTCACGATCGATTTACACATGGTCGAATAAACGGGAAACACCACTAACCGTGAGATGTAGACTCGATCAGGTGTGTGGAAATGACAACTAGCGATCCCTTTTTCCACAGGCCCAAGTTCAGCACTTGGAGTTTGGAGGGTCTGATCACGTGCCGATCTTGCTCACCCTTAAAACCCGGGACACAACTAAGAGGGAAAGGAGACGCCGACCATTTCGATTCGAGGCCATGTGGATCCGACATGAAGACTGTGCAGACATTATCCACGAGCAATGGAGTGAGCAAACGGAAACCGATCCGATCGAAGATTTGTTGACCAAAACGGAGAGCTGTAGAGCAGCGCTTATGCGGTGGAGCTTGGTTGGTATCCACAACCCTAGGAAACGCATTGCGCATATCCAGCAAAGACTTCACCTTTTGAACATGGCAAGGAGCTCGGCAGATGACATTAGGGAAAGGAACGAGTTACAGATGGAGCTCGAACATGCCTATTAGGATCTTGACACTTATTGGAAACAACGGAGCCGAGTGCAGTGGATGAGGGAAGGAGACCCGAACACGAGCTTTTTCCATGCGAAGGCCATAATTAGGAAACGGACGAACTGGGTTTACAAGCTCAAAGATGACTCGGGAGAATGGAAAGAAAACAAAGCCGATATTGAGAAGGTGATTGCAAAGTATTTCTCATCGATTTTTCATTCAACCCATCCACCGGAGAGTGTGATTGAGAGAGTGCTGCAGAACATCGAGCCAAGGGTATCCAATGAGGGTAGCCAGTTACTTTCTCTACCTTTTAGAGCGGACGAGGTAATACGAGCTATTTCCCAAATGTCTCCCACCAAATCCCCAAGCCCTGACGGCTTCCCGGTTTTGTTCTTTACTAAATTTTGGCATGTGCTATGGAATAATGTGCTTAATTGTGTTCTAGATTTTCTTAATAACAAAAAGGTCCCTAGAAAATTAAACTACACCTTCATTGTTCTCATTCCTAAGGTTAAAACTCCGGAAAAAATCTCCGAGTACAGGCCGATAAGTTTTTGTAACGTTATATACAAATTTGGGTCGAAAACCATTGCTAATCGTATTAAACCCTTTCTGCAGAATATTGTCTCCCCCACCCAATTAGCCTTTGTGCCCAAGCGCCTTATCACTGATAATGTTCTTGTCGCGTATGAAGTAAAACACTATATGAAATCTAATACTAAAAAACACACACACTTAATGGCGGCTATGTTGGATATTAGTAAAGCGTACGATCGAATCGAATGGTCTTTCTTACAGAAAATTTTATATGGACTTGGTTTCCCTACATCTTTGATAGAGCTGATTATGCTATGTGTTTCTTCTGTGACTTATTCTTTTCTTTTCAACGGATGCCAGTTTCTATCGTTAAAGCCGAATTGAGGACTTCGACAGGGGGACCCACTCTCCCCATACCTCTTCATT